CACCTTCCTGGCAATCACAATGTATGTTCCTGGGCAACCATCAAAAGCAGCTGACTAGCAAATGAATATTTTTTTTGTGTTCTGGATTTTTAAGGAAAGCTTAAATGTACATTTCTTGTTTTTTAAAATTTTTCCATACCTCAGATTTGACTAGTAACTTCCAAGTGAGGCACCCCATGACAGCAGAGTGTGAGTTAGAGGGATAGAAAAGTGTTTAAGTAGAGTGAGACAGCAGATGATGTAATGATCTGAGCACATGAAAGCGGGTCAAATCGAAACATTTCTGCCAGCCTGACATGGCCACCAGAACCCCTTACATGGGCTTTTAGTTGTCCCTGTTGTGTCAACCTTAAATCAAATGCAAGGTAACTATTTTAGCTAACTACATTTCTTCTTCAAGCTACTTACAACTGAGAATAATGTCTAAAATGCAAGTATTCAGAAGCAATCAATTTAAAACAACACATTTGGGCTGCTAATCTGCTGTTAGAATCTGTAATTTGTAAAGGAATGGTGAGCATAAGGATGGCTTGTAATGCTGGACCTACATGATGCTTTATTTCAGTTCTCAATGCTTCATTATTGCCTTAAAATCAAAGAAAGCCTGCTGGATGCACAAAAGATGAACTTTTATTTTGACTTAAACAGGAACAGATACTAATGCTTCATTATTGCCTTAAAAATCAAAGAAAGCCTGATGGATGCACAAAACAACACCAGGAATTATATATAGTTAATGCCTCTGCCATTGCCCTAAAATAAATTCAGCCAAGTATTCACTAAGTAATAGACCAGGCTCCAGAAAGAAAGGAGAAATACCACCACTGAGTTCTCAGAAGCAATATCTCTTCTCCGGGTAACTCTTTCCTGAAGTTTTTATTTAAGACTGAGGATTTCCAAAATTTGACTCACAAAGCTCAATGTCCCATGTCCCCACACTGATGTCATCCATTTCTAATATTAGGTGCGGAGCAGCTCAGGTTCACCCGAGAAAGATGAGCTTTTATTTTGACTTAAACAGGAACAGATACTAAAAATGAACATGCTGAGGCTTTCTTCTGATATATCTGACACTGTTAAAATAGTTAAGTCCATGCACTGGAACTAGTATTTTGAGTCAAACGAGAAAGGAATTCAATCTAATTGGAAATTGGATGTGCATTTTTATGCAGCCTCAATTGTGCAAATGCGGAGGAATTAAGAAATAAAATGAGCCAAGACTGGTTTGGCTCAGTGGATAGAGCGTCGGTCTGCAGATTGAAAGATCCCAGGTTCTATTCCGGTCAAGGGCATGTACCTTGGTTGCGGGCACATCCCCAGTAAGGGATGTGAAGAAGCAGCTGATCGATGATTCTCTCTCATCGATGTTTCTAACTCTCTATCCCTCTCTCTAAAAAAATCAATAAAATATATTTTTTAAAAAGAAATAAAATGAAGACCTATAAAGCTATTTGTTGTGCAGTGTCACACCAAGATCATAAAGTGCTCACAAAAATTCCATATGGTGAGATAATGAAGGTTCCTGGGCATCTGTTGTAGCCCAGCATGTTGTGTAAACTTGGCCGTTGTGGGTGGTATAGCCACACAAACAAGCTTTGGAATGATATATGTTGTACTCGTTAGCTCAAATGCATCCAGTAGGTGCATCCTATTGTCCAGCAGAGCTTAAATAGATTAGCCTAGCTGGACAATCGCCATGTCTCCAGTGAGTACTACACAGACCTAAACCCAGGCAGAAGGATGCAGATGTGCCATTTGGAACTGTGGAAATTGTGTTGGAATTCCATGCCATGAATTGGAGGGAGCTAATTCCTCCTCCCCTGTCCATCTGCAGAGTAAGAGGCACCATCACGTGCTGAGAGTGCTTTATGAGAAAGAGTCTCACAAAGATAACGCAGCCCTGGACAAACTCGGGGCAATGGACTAAGAGGTATGGCTTGTACACAGAAAATGCCTTTCATTTTAAAAGCAACCACCTGAACACGGTAACCATTCCCTCAAGGGTGAAGATATTTTTTTAAAAAGAGTTAAAGGATATGAAAACATCGTGGCTCGTGGAAACCAGTTTGGCTTAGTGGATAGAGCATCAGTTTGAGGACTGAAGGGTCCCAGGTTCGATTCTGGTCAAGGGCATGTATATTGGTTGTGGGTGCATCTCCGGTAAGGGGGTATGCAGGAGGCAGCTGGTCAATGCTTCTCTCTCATCAATGTTTCTGGCTCTCTATCCCTCTCCTTTTCTCTCTGTAAAAATTCAATAAAATATAAATTAAAAAACAAAACAAAAAACCATCGTGGTTCAGTGCAGAACCTATCACCACCACACCTGAACTTTTCTTACGGTGCAAAATCTGCTAAGACTTTCATTCCAGAAAAGCTGGCCTGGGAGTTTAAGCAGCGGTGGCAAAAAATGGGCCACGTTTAGTACTTGCTACTTTGCAGTTTGTTTTTGCTGACGGTTCTCAGCTTCCTCAGATTGGTCCTTCAAACCCATAGCAGAGTGATTATCATCTTCCTAAGTCACTGTCATAGGTCAGGTCTCCCCACCTTCTGTGCCCAGTGACATAACCTTGCCCTATTTGAGCTTGTGATAAAAATGTCGTGCGTGCTCTACATAATTTTCTGTACCATGTCCCTCCATCCTGTTGTTCTCAGAATCATTGAATGATCTTAAAATAAAAATCCTTACCTAGATTTCCCTCTCCCCACATAGGTATGCAAATACAATCCTGAGATAGTAGTCTCCTTCCCATGTACTCCCAAAGACCCTGGGCCTGCTTTCTCCCTGTATCCGCATGACCTGGACACTACTTGGAATGTGCCCACCTTGCCATAAATCTTTGCTGACTCGTCAGTGTTGAATAAGTCCACCTGGAAGACTGCTCATCACATTTACGTATATGCCTTTGTTGTAATTTTTTATTCTCCCCACTATTTAGCTTTTGCTCTTAATTCCCATTCTTAAAATCAGTAGACTTTTAGACTAAAAGAAAGATCTTCTGGTTGCACAGCCTGTAGTTTTCTGAGAAACTACTAAGAGAATAATATTTTTGATGTACAAGTATAATTTAAAAATAAATAAAATAGATCAAATAATAACTTCTTATACAAATTATTTTCATGGAGAGGTCTGATTATTTTTCGCTTCGTACAGCAATTCAAAATATTTTTCACAATCCCCTTTATGCAAGAATTTCCTTTCAGTTGGACATATCCAATTCATACTGGAAAACTCAGCACTATTGCTGAAACCGGTTTGGCTCAGTGGATAGAACTTTGGTCTGCTGATTGAAAGGTCCCAAGTCTGATTCATGTCAAGGGCATGTACATTGGTTGAGGGCACATCCCCGGTAGGTGGTGTGCAGGAGGCAGCTGACCGATGTCTCTCATCGATCTTTCTAGCTTTCTATCCCTCTCCCTTCCTCTCTGTAAAAAAAAAATCAATTAAAAAAAAAAAATATATATATATATATATATATATATATATATATATTAAAAACAAAACGAAAAACTCAGAACTGTGTCTGTGAAGGCTGAGCAGAGGCAGAAGGCACCAAAACTAACTGTGGCTTGCTGTTGTGTACTGCACAACACTTTAGCAGACGTTGTCATGTCACAGGCCCATAACAGTGATATTGGATGAATGACAATCTTAATGTCCCATCATTCTTATGAAGAACTTGAACCCCATAGGAAGGAAGTGACTTCTCCAAGATTAGCTAGCTAGTTGGGTAAATGGGATAGAAACCAGGCTCTTTCAACTCTGCAATACAATGCACTTTGGACTCTGCTATCAAATTAAATGTGTTGCTTAGGTGATTTTGTAAACGATAACAACAAGTAGAGGAAAGAAAAATGGTGCAAAAATGAGAGCACAAAATACTAACTCTGATCCAGGGAGGACCCGGAGTTGCTGAGCAGGGCTACCATTGGATATGTTTGTGGGTGCTGTTTTGTTTGGGATGGGGAGGAAAGTTGTGTTCTCATAAAGGCATCTGATCAGAATATAAGGGATGTGGGTGCTTGAAATATCAGGGGGATCACTTTATAAATGATATTTGTCTAACCACTGTTGTATACCCGATACTGATAACAAAATAATATTGAATATAAACTGTAATTGGAAAAGAAAATTTAAACAACAAAAAGGGGTACAATTTTCTGCCAAGTTTCCGTTATTTAAGCTTCACCTCCTCATTTTGAACCTCCCTACAAAATTCTGTGAGGCATCCTCTCTGAGAATTTGGTTTCTGCTTTGACAGCAGTTAGATGATGGGTTCGGTCTGGAACTCCATGGACACACCTTCCAATAAACACTAGAGTCCTTGCTTAGAGAGTGAAAATATATTTCCTTGCCCTGGTAAATTTCAGGGTTGAAAAGCAAAGGTGTTAATGAGGGGAAAAACAATCATTTACAAAAGGACTGTCTTGTTTTTTTATACCAATTTTATGTAGCACTTTATAAAAGATAATATAATTTATTTTAATTAGCCTGAAGGATTTTGTATTTGTTCTTTTAATCATCTCCATCCACTAGTATCGATAATACTCTACTTTGGAGATTAGGTTATCAGTTTCTCAGCCAACAAATATATATTAAGGGTCCACTGGCATCAGGCTCTGCCAATGAATTACTAATAAATAATGAATGCCTGGTTGGTTAATGAATAAGATATAGATCTTGTCCTCAAGGAACTCAGATTCTAGAATGAGAAAGACAATTTGTAAGCAAATTAATAAAAACTATCATTCAGGGCTGCAAAGCTGTGTTTGCTGGAGACATTTGTTCTTGTGCTGAGCTTGAGCAACTTCTGAGCTCCTAGTGCAAAATAGAGAGGAACAAGAGCGTCTCCCCAAGGCCACAGCCTGTGCCTGGAGCTCTGTCTCTACCACAACTCTAGTCAAGCACCATGTCATCAAGGTGAGATAGAATCTTCATGATTAAATGTACACAGTGCCCTTGAGGAAACAATGACCACATTGTTCCTTTGTTTTTATTCCAGGAATCTTGGAAAATCAGGACTCAGAGTTTCTTGCTTGGGTCTTGGTAAGTACTCATGGTATCATGTAAGGTGGGCTGGGAGGTGGAAGGTTGGGGAGGATACTATAAAGTGATTGGTGTACAAGTCAGGACCCCATTTAAGGTGAGAAGGGCTTTGTGACCAGCCTTGTCCCAGTCCTCCTTCTGATCCTTTCCTGCCCAACACAGCCCCTTGCCTCTCAGGCCCAAGGAGGCCTGGTGCCCATGATGCCTTAGGGGGGCATCCAACAGGAAGAAATCTGATACTAATGTGCACCCTAGAAGAAGACTCAAGTGTTACTTCCAATTAGCAAATGGGAAGGACCTCATAGCATTTGTGTACTCAGTTTATCTATAGCTTATCTGAACTTTTTCTATCCTTATTTTCTCTTTGCCTAATTTCTTCATGGATTTTTCTGTATTGTTATGTATTTTAGATTTTAGATATTTTTATAATCTACTTTACATACTGTGAGGACAAGGTGATATACATGTGAAAGTTCAGGGGAAGGTTTCTTGATTCCTATTGAATGGAAGAGTGGAGACCAGGGAAAGAATGGTAATGAATAAATAAGAGATAGTGGCAACAAATTCTGCCTCCTTTCACTGTATTTCAAAGATATTAAGGTGAATGAGGCCTAAATTTTTCTGATTCATTCTGATGATCTGATTTGGAACCTAAGGGAGGACTTTATTCACTCTAAGTCTAAGGGAACTTGCATTTGCTTAATTTATAGTTCTGATCTTGTTACTTTTCACTTCTGTTTGAAAAGAGACTCACTATCAGGAACCATCTAGCCTTAGTTTTATGAGAATGTACTTAATGGTAAATAATTAATCACTATCTATTATTGAAAGAAACTCCCTATAAATACAAATTATGAAATATGATAATTTAAGAAAATACAAATTAAGAAATATAGTAAAAGATCATTGACCAATTATCTCATAGAGTCAGTTTCTAGGGCAGAAAATAATTTAGTCAAAAGTACATAGAAAATTCCACCAAAGACCCTTAAGACTAAAAAATTGCAGGTGTCCATGAAGTGCTACATGTAAATGAATGTCTGGAGGGCAGAGAGCAGTGTTTTAAAACCCCATGTGTGTGAGTGGAGGGGTGAGCTTTGGAACAGACGATTCAGGAGCAGAAGTCCTAACTTGAGCTTTGAGCTTCTCTGAGAGCCTGAGCACTTGTGATAAGACACTGTGTGAAAAACAGGAGGAAGCAAGGAAGTTCAGGGGCTGACTGGCTTCATTCAGAACAGGTTAACAGAGCTTGACAGCTTGAATAAGCATTCTTTAAGAACTGCTCTGAGCTACCTCTGTAAGCCAGAGGAGACAAAAAAAAAATTCAGAGAAAGGAAAAATGCACCTGCCTTAGATAATTAGTCATGCTCTGCAGACCCCAGCTGTCCAACCCAGAGGAAGCTGGGTTTATTGCTGTGGACTTGGGATGTCAGCAAAATCACAGCCCATGTTCAACCGAGGCTTTGGAAATTAAGCATCATAGTTCCAAGTTATCACACAATTATATTGGAATACTCTAAAGGCCATAGTTTAAGCTAACCATTCTGACTTTCTTCTCTATGAGAGGACAGGATGGGAACTTCTAGCTCTGACAAGCTTTCTTTCAATGAAATAGGAGCATGTGTAAATGAGAGCGGGCAGGTGAAGTAACTCGAGGATGAACTGAAAATACATTTGGAGGAATAAACTCTGCCAGTAAGCGAAATGGGTAAAAAGAATTAAATGGCCAAACCCACTTGTGTGTTGCTTTGGCTGGCCTGTTTATAAATACACTGATGGAAAAGAGTAAATCCACAAAAGGGTGACTGAAAATTGCCTCAGTCTAGTGGGAGGTAGGATCATCTTCTCAGAGAGGAAGAATAGAATTATGTACTCATTCATTCATTCATTCATTCATTCTGAGCAAATATGTAGGAAACTAGGCACTATGCTATTATGGGGGATACGTGGGTGAAAGCAGCAAGGCCTCTGCTTCAGATTGCTCCCAGTTTAGTAGGATCAGGCATGCAAACACAGACAGTGCCAGAGTGGAGTCTGGGACGAATCGAGCACAGGGTCTTTGGGACAGCTTCACAGGGAAGGTGCTATAGAGCTGAGACTTAAAGGGAGTTATCAAGCAGAGAAGGTGGTGGAAAAAGAGGGCAAATAATTCAAGACAGAGGGATCAATACATGCAAGTACCAGTTGGGGAAACATTAGAATATTATGAGTGCATGGTGCTCAGGAACCTTAAGAAATGAGCTAGAAAAGAAAGCTGGGCCTGATGGAGAGAGCCCTTGTTTGCCTTGCTAAAGCATTCAGCTCTTGTCTTCCAAGTTCCTCCAACTCCTACGGCCCCAAGGTCTCAGGGTCGCTTGGAGGAAGAGAGACAGACAAAGCTCCACCTCTCTCCGCCCTCCTCCTTCTTTCACCACAACCTCCATCCAAGTGGCTTTAAAAAAAAAAAAGTAAACTAACTTTTTAAATGTAAAATTTTAATGTAATAAGTAATAACCATTTTTAGAGCAAAACTGAACAAAAAGTACAGAAAGTTCCCCTTCTCCCACATACATATAGCTTCCCCCACCATCAACATCCCACACCGGAGTGGTTGGTACATTGGTTACCATTTTACATTGACACATCATTAGCACCTAAAGATTGTAGTTTACATTCGTTATATGTATAACTATTGGTGTTGTACTATGACTTTGGTAAATGTATAGTGCATGTATCCACCATTATATTATCATACAAAATATTCCCTGCCCTAAAAATCCTCTGTGCTCTGCCTATTCATCTCTCCCTTCCTCCTAAACTCTAGCAACCACTGATCCATTACTGTCTTCATCGTTTTGCATTTTGCAGAATGTCTGATAGTTGGAATTGTGGCCTTTACATATTGGCTTCTTTCACTTAGAAATATGCATTTAAGTTTCCTCCATATCTTTTCATGGCTTAATAGCTCATTGCTTTTTAGTGCTTCACATTCCATTTTGAAGGGACTGGGGAAGCATCCTTCTGCCAAACAAAAGTTTACAACTCTGCTGTAGCGTGTGAAAAACCATTTTAGAACTTGGATCAGGAGTAGGACATGATCAAACGTATTAGAATTGTTTTCTGGCAGCGATATAAAGGCTACATTAGAGGGGGAAGGGTTGTGACTGGAGACAAGGCAGACAATGAGGCAGTGGTATTAAAAGTGGACCAGAAGGAGATGATTATTCAGATTATTCAGGAGGAAGAATAAACAGAACCTGGTGACCTCAGGGTGCAGAATAAGAAGTCTCCCTGAACAAGGAAGGATGCTTGGGTTCCTGGATTGGGCATGTAGTGGATGAGCTGAAACCTCAGGAGGAAGGCCAGGAGGGGACAGTAAGAGGAGGAAGTGGGAACATTGCTAGGGAGTGGTGATCAGAGAGCCTGTGACCTTCTCCAGATACCCAGAGGGAACTCTGGGCTGTGAATAAAGATCTGGGAACTTATAACAGTGATGAACCCAAGGATGTACTTAAGGCCACCTGCATATTCAGAGGGTTGAGATATTTGCCCAGGTTTAGGACACCTGCCTATGGAGTTTGCCACATGACATGCTCCCTGAGAGCAGAGACGACCTCTGCCTTTTCTACACTCCTATTGTACCTTTAGCAGATCACAGTATCTGGCAAGTAGTAGGTGCTCAAAAATATTTATTGAATGAATATCTGCATAGATGGATCAGTTGCTACAGAATGACAAAGTGCACTGTGTATTAGTGAAGATCCAGCAGAGGTCAGAAATCATGAACTGCTGAGGTCCAGCCAACTCAGTTCTTTGGTTTTCTTCAGCAGCACTTCAATGCAGAAACAGAGAAGGCCACGTGAAGGGAGGTGAGGAGCGGAGATAGGGGTCAGCCAAGCAATGAGAATTGCCCCCAAAGAAAGTCATGGACAAGGGGTCTACCATGCCATGGAGTCCAGGCTGGGTCAGCTCAGAGCCTTCTCAGCAGGGCTCTTACTTCTGTCATTACAAAGAGGCATCCGCCTACATTCTGAGTTGCTCCTTAAAGTCTCGCATGAATAGAAGAAGGCCCGTCTGATTCACGCCATGGGAGGCGACACACCACTGTGGGTAGCTACTCCTATAGGTGCTTGAAAGGGGCTGAATTTACCCGGCACCACTTACTTTCAGGTGAGTGGGCTTCCTTCCAGATGAAATGCTCACAAGAAAAAGGTCACGTGATGATTAATTTTATGTCAACTTGACTGGGCCATGTTGTGCCTGGATATTTGGTCAAATGTTATTCTAAGTGTGTCCTGAGAGTGTTTTTGGATGAGATTAACATTTGGATGAGTGGATTGAATAAAGTAGCCCTCCCCAGTGTGGAAGGGTGGCCCTCATTCAGTCAGTGGAAGGCACGAATGCCTAGTACAAAAAGGGGGACCCTCCATCCAAAAGGAGGGGACTCCTTCTGCCTGACCACTTTGAGCTGGAATGTCAGACCTGTCTGGCCTTTGGAATTGAACTGAAATATCCTCTCTTATCAGGCTTGAGCCTACTTGCTTTTGGACTAGAATTTATATCATCCATCAGCTCTGCATGGCCTGAATATACTACAGTTTACAGATGGCAGATCTTAGGACTTCTCAACCTTCATAACCAATTCCTTAGAATAAATCTCTTTGTATATGTACATGCATATTTAAATATCATATATATTTACATAAATACATTTGTATGTTTTATAATATATTACATATTATAATTATATAGAAATGTATGAATATATCAATAAGGAATTCTATAAAAATTATAGGTTTCTATTTCTTTGGTGAATCCTAACTAATAAAATTATTTTGCTAGTTTTTAAAAACATCACCCAGGCATATGTGCCAAGCTGACAGGTACTCTGGGAGTGCTGTAGTATATAGGAATATAGGGAGAGCTCAGATAGGGAGATATATGGTCATGTACTCATTTGAGCATATATTGAACACAGGTAGAATACCATCATCCTAAAAGGACTTCTGCGCTGTTCACTG